GACGAATTTAAAAAATAATCATTTGTACACGAAAAAAAAAATTAATCTAAGGAATACAATAAGAAAGAACTGAGAGGTAAATTTACTTGCTGACAATACAAATAGGAAAGTCTTAATCGCAATTAGTTCAGTTTAATTATTATTATTATTTTTAAATTTCAAGATAAGTGTTGAAATTTATATCAGGGAACGTATATAATCTCTCTCGTTTTTTGTTGTTGTTTTTTTTTTTGTTTAACGCACTCGACCGGGAGTTTATAAAATAAAGACCTCGAGAGGATAAATAAATTTTCCATAGCAATGATAAATTGACAATATTTAAAGTAAAAAGAACTGCAAAAAAAAAAACAACACGAAAAAGCACTTTAATTTGCAATAACTGTCGAACAAATCTGAATTTTCAAACAAAATTTGCGATAAGTTTACAGATAAAAATGGCTCTTGCAACACGTCAAATTTCAAATTCTCAGTTGCATTTCGGCGGGATATAGATCGATCAAACAGGGTACATTTTCTCTACAAATTTAAGAGTAGAAACTTCGCTAACTAATTGTTGAATCTCAATTTGTTTTTTTTTTTTTTAAATTCCACCGTACTTCCAAAAAAAAATTTTTTTTTAACATACCTTCATGATTTCAAATTAGTCTTATAAATTTCGCGCAGAAAAAAAAAAAAAAAAAAACTTCTAATCGCAATTCTTTTCAAACAAATTTGAATTTAAGGAAAAAAGAAACTCATAATTAATTCATTAATAAATATGGTCCGTTCAGCATATCAAATACATTCCTGCATGGTATTTTCCTCCAAGTTTAACAAAGTCAATAATTCTCGAACAATTTATAGAACGCTACATTTTTCTGCATACCTTCGTAATTGCAAGTTTCTGTGCTTTATAGTTTATCGTTTTACAGTTTATAGAGTTTTTTTCAAACAAAATGTAACTATGCTATGCATAGCATAGTTTTTCTTGTCTCAACTATGTGAATTTTATTCTCTACTTAAGAACTTGACATAATTGATTGTGTACCTTTTCTAAATGAATATTTGCCGGAAAAAAAATGAATAAATAAAAATGAAAAAAAAAGCAAAACAATATTAAAGATAATTCTTTTTTATTGAAAACAATAAAGAATACAAGCAATTGAAATGAAACATAAAATAACAAAAATAAAGTAATTCAACACAATAAATAATAAAAGAGAAACTTAAATACCCAAGCTTATTAATTTCACTTTTACAGGATTGAAAATAGACTTTAGTTCTCTTCTGCTACTTCATATAGTGCTCATGCAAATTTAAATTTCATGCAAAAAAATAAGAAACATATTAATTATAGTAAAATAAAATGAAATTTATCAGTGAAAAAGTTGAAAATTGTACTGTAAAAAATTTTTTAAAAAAGATTATACGATAAATAATAAAATAAATTTACTATAAATAAATTATACGCGAGATATTCAAAATATTATGCAATGAATTCGATAACAATCAATAAAAAACAGTTGAATAAAATAAAAAATAATATTATAATCTTAAGGCTTTTAAAAATAACGTAATAAGAAATATTATAAATCATATTTTTTAAATTTAGTTTTATGCCAAACTAACTTAAACTGACTTAATATTATTAAATGAATAATTCGAAGAAACTGAAGCAGAAAGATACATTTTTATGCTATAAAGAAAGCAAAAATTAGTACCTATGTAAATTAATTAATTTAAAATAATAATTTATTTCCCTTCCATTTGGATATTTCTTTAATAAAAAAAATTCCACTTCATTAATAACAATACATTTACTGTTTCTTCAGTTTTTCCAAGAATTGTACAAAAGTATAGTAAACTGCTGCAAGAATATAATATTTTATTCAAGCAATGAAGCAGATTTTATTACCTTATTTAGCATAAACAATTGAACTTGTTTTAAATGTTCCCTTCATCAAAATAACTCCATTAAGAAAAGGATAAACCCTTACATATTTAGACATTTTATTGATTAATTCGTCTGAAATTTCAGATTCCATGTTATTCAAATTGCATTGAATTACTTCCCTCAGAATAATTCGTCTGTAGTATTTATATTTCCTATATTTTTATATTTCATAAGTGCATTTTACTCGATAAAATATATGGGCCAAAACTTTGCTCTAAAATTTCAGTTTTAGGACAAGGTGCTAAAAATATTTTCTTGCTTGTTGTTTGTTACAGATGACATGATGATGTTAAATTAATGAAAGCAGTTTTGCAGAAAACAGATGTGTGAATATTACATAATTATGTATTTTTCAAGGTAAGAACACAAAAAAAAAATAATAATAATAATTTTAAAAAGAAGAAAAAATTATTTTATTTTATAACAGTCGTTAAGCAGCCAACCCAATTATTGAGTTTGACTGCCAATGTTCATGTCCGTAGCCTTGTAATTTTGAACGCAATCCAGAAGACAAGGAAACTTCTTGATGAAGTATTAGAAGAAATTTGCCTTCGATGAGGACTTATATTGATGGAACTAACCTGCATTTGCGGTACACGGAGAGAAAAATGACGAAAACCTCCCACGGTGAGCCGAACAACAAGGGGACTCTAACCCATGATCCGTCTACCACTGAGGATATTTTACGTCAGCACGTCGGTGCGAGTCAGGTGTGGAATTCAGTTAAGGGGACATCACTAAGAAGCCCCTGAAACTCGAACCCGGTTCGCCGAATTGGGAGGCGAGTGCTCTATCCCCTGAGTCATCACAAATCAGATAAAATTATTAAAAATAAAAAATAAAAAAAATTTTATCATTTGAAAAATTGGCAACGAAAAGATATAATTTCGTAATCAGCTCACCCAATTACATCTCCATACATAAAATAGATTTAAAGAAAATACTTTAATTAATAACTAACTAATTCCGTCTTATTCCATCAACAGTTTATAAAAAAGAGGGAAAAATTATTAAAATTGCTCTGTGGTCACTACCGAGTAGATTTAAAAGAAGAAAAATAGTTAGCCATCAGAGAAGATTTCCTGCATCATATTTTCCCCTTTCTACCTTCTTTTTTCCCTTTTTCGTAAATCAAATAAAAGCTCCAGCATATCATCGATGGGGAAGATAGAGGTAAAGGATAAATGAAAAATGAACTACGGGATCTTCACTCCTTATGCCATTAAAAAAAAGAAAGAAAAATAAACCTAAAAAGAGGAAGTATAAGGAAGTAAGAAGAATAAAAATATCGGAAAAAGATGAGAGATGGGATTAAGTTAACTTTTTTGGCGAAAGAACAAATTTTCGATTCGGTGACAGAGATCGTTTTTCTAAGGTTTTTCCCTCTCCCCCCCTCTAATTCCCTATCCACATTTGCTTATAAGAGGGGAAAAAAGGCAATATATTCCCTTCTCCAGTAAAAAGTGGAGATGGAACTTCTCGCATATCGATGTTTACAGAACCGTAGAAGAGTGCAATATCGATTTTGAGTAAGTCTATCGAAATCGTAATCCAATATGGAATGGTCATTTTTATTTAGTGAACTTTACTCTTAGGTAAAGAGCTTGGAATCGTATTGGATGGCAAATCCTCAAATTATTAACCTCTGTATCAAATTAAATTAGCCTTTTTTTTCATAATAGAAGATTAACAGGAAATCAATAATGGTGAATCGGTCATTTTTGCGATTTTCGATTATCTTAAATATCTCTCTTAGAGTTAAATATATGCATTGAGAAATGGGTTCACATTCATACACCGTAAATAAAAATAGAAAAAAAAAATACACTGACAAAAACAAATTAAGACCTTTTTTTGAAAATTGATATAACTTGAAACTTGTACTGCCATCAGACATAAAACTTTACAGCAAATTTTGTCACTTTAGATTATCGTTAATAGCCTCAAACGATAATTGTCATTAATTAATTTATTTTTTTGTAGCTCTCAGGAAAAAATTCTAACTAGCATGATTGTCAAGCACAAAGGTTCATTTATAATAAAGAGTTCTTTAACTAGTTAGTTAGTGGCTTGGCTGTTGCCCCAGTGGAAGTACTATGATTTCAATTTTAACTATTTTAAGAGATAATAGCGATAAAGTATAAATTCTTCATGTGCTGAATTTTAGCACTAATTTAAAATTTGTCCGGCACCCTTTAAATAACATAGACCACGACCATAATAATGAATTCTGGACATTGCAGCAGAAGTATTAAAATTATTTCTATCTATGTCGTAACATAAAATAGAAAACTGATCTTAAGGGTCTGATCATAGAATGCAGAAGTATTAAAATTATTTCTATCTATGTCGTAAGATAAGATTAAAAAAAAACTGATCTTAAGGGTCTGATCATAGAATACAGCAGAAGTATTAAAATTATTTCTATCTATGTCGTAAGAAAAGATAGATAACTGATCTTAAGGCTCCATTACGTACACTAATGGAATATAATACAAATCTTAAGGCTCCTACAATAATGGAAGAGACACTTTCGATACATTCGGTTTATGAATTTCTCAAGAAATACTTAGAAGACTATTTTGTAATTTTAGAAGTGTTTCGCTCATGCGAGTTTTCTTACTTTGCAAACAAGTTTAAAGTTTTAAAGGGTTTTAGGGGGACCGACAATAGATTACAAAAGAAAACAAGTATTTTTGAACACCCTATGCCAAGAAATCAAAAATAAGCTTGCATCAACTACTTTGGTTTGTTAATTGCAATGACTGCATAACATTTCGTAAATCTAGTTTAAATATTAATGGAGATTTTTAACTCCTCAAAAATTTGGGAGGAATATAGTAAACATATAAAAAAAAATTCTAAAAATTCAATGATTTAGAATGGTTACATATTTTTTTAAAATTTTTAACAATAAAACAATAGAAAACTTGAAATATGAAAATGGGATGAAAAGAAATTTTTTTAAAAGAAATATCGGAAAAAAATATTACTTTTCCTGAAAATAGAGTATAGTATAAAATATATGTGAAGTAGAGAAAAATTTGGCGAAGAAATATATACTGACCATCAATGAATCCCGCGAGGGCACGAGCTTTATCGTATTGGACGGTAGATTTGGAATTCTCGAACTTCGTATCTTCTGCAAACACCCAGGTGTCTCGTTTCAACCGCAGATGGAACATCCTGAAATAGAACAAGTCTGATTTCAGCGATACACGAATACGTTTTTTCATCTAAGAAAAATAAATGGAAAAATACATAAATGAAATTTAAAATAAAAAAAAATATCCATGCCAGTTAAGACTTCGAGAAAAAAATTGAATCACAACAAATTACAATCTCTTTAGAGTCAATTTTTTGATATTTTGTCAAATCACTCTTACATTGATATTAAATACTTGAGATTAACATTTCATACTTAAATACTTAATATTTTTAATACTCTTTCCAAAAAGGAAAACGTAAAACCATCCAAAATATGAGTCTTAAAGTAATATTTAATCGAGAGATAAAAATCAAATAACGAATCATTAATTAGGAAGGCGGGGGAAAAAAACGTCAAAACCAGTCTGTATGTCTGAGGAAACTTGTAAGGTATATCTTGAAAAAAGATGATGGGAGGAAACTGATAAAATATGTAAAAGAATTGTGGTGGTTCAGGGGATAGAGAGTTCGCCTTTCAATAAGGTGAACCGGATTCGAATCCCAGCGATGGCTGATCGACTCGGATTCCGCATCCGGCTCGCACCGACCACAGTGCTGACGCAAAATATCCTCAGTGGTAGACGAATCATGGATTAGAGTCCCCTTGCCATCGGGCTAACCGTGGGAGGTTTTCCTTCCCATGTAACGCAAATGCGGATTAATTCCACCAACAAGTCCTCCACGAAGGCAAATTTTTCCTAATACTTGATTCGGGAGTTCCTTTATCTCCTGGTATGGGTTCAAAATTTGAAGGCTGCGGAGAACATTAGTAGTCGTAAACCCAATAAATTGGGTCAGCTGTTCAAAGACTGTTATAAAAAATGGGTAAAAAGGGACGAAACTAAGAAAATTGACGATTATTATTGTCTTTTAACTTCTCTCTGTTATTGTCGCAAATCAAATAGCCGTTACTGTTTTCTGTCTTGCCTTCCTCATTCATAATTCTTCGAGTTTTGATAACATTTATCTTTTTACCATCTCTTAAATATTATGTTGCGAGAACAGAAATATTATGCTATAAATTACATTTCAAAATATTATGCTGCAGAGATAGTTACGTAATAGAACCGGTTGATCCTTTTTCCTTACTTCGGAGATCATTTTACTCATGAGGTAAACATAAATAGTCAAAGCGAAACAGTTACGAGCTCTATCCTATTCGCATTTTGTCGGAGGCTCTATCCTATTCGCATGTATCCTTATTGCAGTTATATGGTCAAACAAATTCCCAACTACCTTAAATTCTTATATTTCGATTGGAGATCTGTGTCATATACAAGTTCAAATTGTTCTCTATTTGTTTCAAGCAATATTTATCGATAATTTTTTATATTTTATTTTATAACCGTCGTTGAACAATGTTAAAATCTAAGAAATTGGTCACATGACTTAGTGTCTAAGGATGTTAACATTTAACTTACACTGGGGAACAATTTTTATTCTTTTTTTCTATCGCAAGAGATATTTTTTAACAGATTTTAGATATTTTCGTATCGTAATCGCTGATTTCAAATTTCAATCGGTTTCTCTCTACAAGCATCTCTACAAGTATCATTTCAAACTAGGCTACTATTATTTAATCAAATAATATTTTTTCAAAATTTTATTTATAACAATAGCGGCAGGGTGGGATAGCCCGGTTGGTAGGGCACTAGGCCCCTGTCCAAGAAGGCGTGGGTTCTATCCCCGTCGGCCGAAGACACCTCGTGTAGTAAACGCTGAGTGATGAGCGTTAAATCTGTCGAGTCACAAAGTCCTCCATGTCCCCATAACAAATCATACCTCTGGAGGTACTGATCCAGGAGTTTCCTTGTCTTCTGGATTGGCTCAAAATTACAGGACTATAGCGTTGAATATTAGTAGTCGTAAACCCAAAATTGGGTCGGCTGTTCAACGACGGTTATAATATAAAATAAAATAGCTGCAGGATAAGAGGCTTGCGGAGATAAGTAAAAACTTCTCTATACATGTTAAGTCAAAAAGGAACTTCTTTGAATTTAAAAAGAGCAATTTACTTTTCCAATATGAAAATCTCTTTATATATTGTACTAATTAACAACCTGTTATGTAACTGCATAAATAAATACAGTCTATCTGCTGAAATTCATATAGATTTGATTTAGAATTCGTAGATTATTTCTCCATTTATATACAAGCCTTATAATCACATATTCTCATAATATATGTTCTAAATGTACGCAGGCAAGGGCAGGGTTGGGTTTTTGACGTCAAAAAGTGGTTTTTGACATGACAAGGGTATAATACTGGTTTAAACCGTCAAAAACCCGTCAAAAATGTCNAACGTCGTGCAAGCAAGGAAAAAGATTCATTAAAATATTTTTTTTTAAAAATATCTCATCTTTAAACATTTCGTCGGCGAACACAGCTTTAAATGCGTGTTCAAGAAAACAGATACAGCTCAAAATGCGTGTTTAAGAAAATGGACACAGAAAAAAATATCACATAATTTGAATTCATTAGTTTATATTTTAAAAAAAAGGGAATCAAATGCCATGTCCATTTTATCAAATACGCAATTCGAGCTGTATCTGTTTTCTTGAACACGCATTTGGAGCTGTGTCCATTTTCGTAAAGACGCATTTCAAGCTGTGGTCATTTTCTTAAAGACGCATTTCAAGTTGTGTCCATTCTCTTAAACATTCATTTCAAGCAGCGTCCATTTTCTTAAACACGCATTTCAAGCCGTGTCCATTTCTTAAACACTTATTTCAAGCTAGGTCCATTTTCGTTAACTCATTTCAAGCTGTGTTCATTTTCTTAAACACGCATTTCGAGGTGTTTCTAAAACAAAAAACTTACCACCGATTTTTTTTAATTTAATTTAATTTTTTTTTTTTTTGGAAAAATAACTTTACATGTAGCCATTAGTTTTCATACACAATTTCAGTAGTTTAAATAAAGCCTACTGAACCAACGAATTAGGACAAAAACATTACGCATTTTAACAGTATTTAAATTTTATAACAAGAAAAATCTTGATCTAAATATGTTTATGATCATAAGAGAAGACATAAAAGAACATCTTGAATTAGTGTTCTATATTTTTCCAGTTACGCAAAAAGTACTTTTTTGTTATATCTTCCAATTAACAAAAAAAAAAAAAAAAAAAAAAAAAAAAAAANAAAAAAAAAAAAAAAGAAAAAAAAAGGAAAAAAAAAAGAAAAAAAAACATTAAGCAGAATTTAAATAATGTATACATAAAAAAAAAATCGTAGCACTAATGTGATAAATTAACTTTAGTGCCAACTTTAGGAATCGTAGTCTATTTAATGAAAGCATTATTTGTAATTATTTAAAATAAAAATATTTGATAGCACCTATAACAAAATACCATTTATTGGATCTCTAGAGGGTGTGTAAGTACATCCTTTTACCCTATAACGTAAGATGAGATATCTTTATATAATTCGGTTGAGAATTTAGATCGAGCTTAATGAGGCGAGTTAGTTGAAATGTCTGGGGGATTATTGTACAGTACAGAACCCGTTATCCGGAAATCAGTAAACCGGAAAACCAAAAAACCGGAACGAAATTCGATAAATTTTCCCGCCATTATTTTAAAAATAAATGTTTTTTTCCTCATAAGATTTAAGGATTTTTCTTTCTTTTTTGAAAGATGTTTACCTTACCATCATTTTGGAAATGATCATTAGTGTATTACTTTGTTTTTTCAAGGTTATTTCCAAATATTTCTTTTTTTAGTTGGGTTTAACAATAAAAAAAAACGGCTTTTTGTAGCGATTCAGAAAACCGGAAAAATCAGTTATCCGGAATAGTGATAGTCCCGATCGTTCCGGATAATCGGTTCCCTACTGTATAATAGTCTGATTGAGCAAATCAAGTAACTGAGGAGACCATCATGATATGATGAACACTCACAAAGGCTAAACACTATTTTTCTTTATATAAATTTATATGCAAATTATAAAACTAAAAAGTTATTTTTCCCAAACGTTCACCATACAACTAGCGCAACTCTTACGTAACTTGCGCAATTAGTGCTTTTTTTTAATAACCGTCGTTGAACAGCCGACCAAATGCCGGGTTTACGAATACGAATTTTCAATTCCGTAGTCTTGTAATTTTGAACCCAAACCAGATGACAAGGAAACTCCTGGATCAGTACCCCTAGTGGTTTGATTTGTTATGGGATATTGATATGTTACTTTTCCCGGATGTCCCGCTATGGGACGGGTCGGAGTTAAGCCAAGCTTGTTATGGGAACTTAGTTGACTTTGTGACCCGACAGATTTAACGTGCACCAGACACCATTTACTACACGGGGAGTCTTCGGTCGGCGAGGATCGAACTTACGACCTCTTGGACATGGACCCAGTACCCTACCAACCAGGCTATCCCGGCCCGACTATAGTGCTTAATACAAAAAATGCTTTTTTGGTGAATACTATACGAATCTACAGTACTGTCTGGCTATCATGAGAACTCCTTCAGACAAGACTCGCCTACTAGCCGTTACGACGAAAAGCCACTTGGTATAGATTTGTGGGATTACCCTTTTTGTATAGGTTGTAAGTTTGGGAAAATTATATTATTTTTTCAATTCTCCCACACCAGAAATGGTTTTGCTCTTGTTTCCATAACAGCAGATTGCTAGTCTTTTCAGTAGGGAAGAATTCTCGTGATGGCTATATAATAACACACTGAGAGATAACATAGCACAATGAATAAAAGAAATAATTACAGATTACAAGAACGGAATAAAATTATATCAAAACAACAGGCTTGAAAACAAACCTTTTAAATGCTTTAAACTGAAGAGTGAAAAAATGATCTGATGGCGATCGGCTGGATCGACGATGCTGGTCCTTCAGAAAATTCTGATCAAAAAATATAGGCTCAAAATGAAGAATGTATTCGCTCAACTTTTGATCTGGAAAAAAAATTGAGGCATTATTCTTAGATTGTGAATTAAATTGAGGTGCATAACAATAATTTAAATGCTATATATATAATTTGATTTAGCACTTAAACCTTCGCTCATCTAATCAAATCTACTTTGTAGGGTTTGGAGAAAAAATTTTATTTCTTAAAATCAATTAGTTTTAATTTAGTGAGTAAAAATAATGAGTTTTATGAGATATTTCAATATGTTTTAAAGATAGAAAAATAATTGAACAATTAAAAGTACTCGTTCTACTTGAACAAGTTGTAAGGACCATTTAAAAAATACCTAAGTACACATGGGGAGGAAATTTGTAATTTCTTCATTGTAGAAGCATGAACAATACATACCTATAACCTAAAATTTTCTCATTCTGATTTTTTTAATGAAAAAAAAAGGAAAAATTTTAAAATTTGATTCAAAAGTTTAATTTAAGGAAAGAAAAAAATTGGATAACAATATCTTAAAGGAGTTTTATGGAAGAGTTTTGACCTCAGAAAGAAAACACAAAGCATTTTTAAAGAATATTTGTTGTTACAAAATATTCTACTCAAAATTATAGATCAAGAATTGAAGCACAATTTTTGTTTTATGCAAAATTATTTACGTATACTGTTACTGATTCACATTCTAAAACTGCAGTAAAATTCAAAATCAAAGCAAACAACAAGGATTGTTACGATTTTCGTAAGTAAGCATGAGAGAGGGATTTAAATTTACGAAAATCAGCTTACGTAATGCTTAAACGTTTCTTGTATGCAACAAATAACTTGTTCAAATATTTATTTAAACGGTTCTGAAGATATGACTATATAGTTACACTTGCCTGGAAAATATGGTTCCTAAAGCGACGATATGCGAGCGTTTGAAATTTATTGCACCTTAATGTTATTTATTTATTTCTTTTGCATAACTTTTTTTAATTATTTTATTTAATAAAGGTAAAAAAAAGTGTTGAAAAAAGTCTACAAATTTTTACACCATTTCGATCTAGATAATTTTAAAAGACAAATTACTAAATTTGAGCAAAATCATTGAAATAGTTCCCGAGTTATAAAATATTTAAAAAATAAATACCATTTTTAAATTTTCAATTCTCAAGAATTATCTGACCGATTTCGTTTAAGTTTTGCATTTTGTCACTTAAAATTATTGCGTTTTTATTCCTGTTCGAAATTTCTTGATGTTTTTAATATTTAAATAATTTTGCTACCATTATTATTCATTTATTTATTTAAATGTTTTTAATCAATTTATTTATTTATCATACTTATTTTTGATGTATTCAAAACTATCTATTAAGTTCCGTTGATAGTAAAGGTGTCAACAGAGGAAGTTGAAAATCGGCAAGATTTCTTTTGACAAGAAATAGAACTTGAACTCTAAAAATATTCTCGAAAAGCAAAAATAACAGGTAGAAAATAGTGAACTCGATGCAGTTCCGAACTATATTTGAGTAAATTCAAAAATTTTAAAAGACGAAAAGCAATCATTGCCTACTTTAATTTCATAGTAAGATCATTGCCAAAGATCTTTGATCATTGCAGATCATTTTAATGTTTTTTTAAAAAAAGGTAAAATTTAAAAAGTAAAATTTTAATTAAAAAAAAAAGGTAAAATACGTAAATTATTGTTGAAATAAAAAATCCATCTCATTCACCCTTCATACAGCATACATAACGGGCAGTGCCGGAATACCCATTAAGCCAGACTAGGCTATGGCCTGGGGGCCCCTCAATGATTAGGGGCCCCCTTAAAATGGATTTTTTGAAACTAAATTTTAAAAAATTAAGAAAAACAATGATTTTAAAAAAATATCAATTTCAAATATATATGTTATGATTTTAAAATGTTATGATTATTTTTAAGTTCTAATTTAACAAAATAAAGTAAAATTCAATTTATTATTATTATTTTAAATATGCTTTCTTGAATGAAAAGTTATATAAATACTTTTATATTTGAATAAATAAAAAATATACGAGAAAAAAAAATTNATACACAATCACATCTCACACAAATAATTCTAAACAAATAGTCGGTTTTTAAAATGCATGACCTCATGCCATTGTTGTAACGTCATCAAATTTATTCCCATTAATCCTTCTTTAATAAAAATATTTAGAATTGGGCGCTTGCAGCTCGAGAAGAAGTGAAGTAATAATACGTAAACATGTAATTTAAATCTTATCTAGTTGGACGCAATTTAAATCAGTTTTAATTGTGTTGAACCTGATTGGCTTCTGAATCGACAAATGCCATGATTTAACTAAGATGACGTCACTTGCAGGTATCCAATTTATCGATAACTTATAATTCCACTCAACAAAAACAAAACTTTCATAATTTCGAACAAGAGCATTTAGAAAGCACTAAAATGGGTCGTCATATAACTACTATTGTAACTCATAATTTCGATTAGATCGAATAAAAATATAATCAGAATTTGTTGTAATAATTTCGAAGGTAAGTTAAACTATATTGTTACAATGTTTACAATCATGGAACTTAATTTAAGCGGGATGTTCAAACTCTTATTACAAGCTCTAATTTATTCAATAAAACATAGAGACATTGGTTTATTCATTTATTGAAAACTAAATATTCTTTTCCTTGTTTCTTTGTGTAGATTCTGTTAAACTTGGATTCCTGATAAAGAATTGAATATCCTTTATTGTGATTTGAACATCTTTATTTGGTAAACAAAGTGTTCGGATATGCCTATTTAACATTTTGTACTCTTTCAGACTATACCATTTTTTAAATAGTAATAAATATAAGTATTTTTATTATTTATAAGTGTGTGTAAAAAATGTTTGCCTTTATAAAAACAATAGTTTAAGTATTTTATAAAAAAAAAAAATCTTCTGACACATTTACATTGATTGTCATTTTGTCCACAGACGTTTGTTACAAATAGTATAAGTATTATTCTAAGTATAAAAAATAAATGGAAATATGTTAGAGAAAATAATTTGTAATGAATAAAATCAAACTATTTCTTTAAAAAACTCATTAGCGTATCTGGAATTTGTAATTTTTTAAGTTTTCAATTCTGTGTGGAAAAAAAAATAGTATTTCGCATTCATTTCTAGTACGTTATAGTCTGAACGATTTTTTAGATTTCTATTATTTATTGAATTCATATTATCACAATAATTAGACTACTACAGATTTTCTGTAATTTCTACTGTATTACATTTTGAATTATTATTAGAATTATGGGGGACTTAAACAATGCACAATATTAATTCATTAAGCATAATTTTAATTCAAAGATTTTCAATATGATCTTGTACATTTATAAACCATGTGTAAATCATATAATTAAATGTGTTGATTTAGAAAACTTCCAATCTTTGATTATCCTTAGAACTTAAAGTAAATGATTTAAATAGTATTTTGAGATTACTCTGTATAATTATATTAGATACTACAAAATCTTTATTATTTTTTTTTTTTAATGTTATTTGAGAGTGCTTATTAAAGTTTTGGGCTTATTTCCACTATGAGTACCTGTTCAAGTTAAATAAAATCGCTAATTGCCTCTGTCTGTTTTTTTTTTTTTTTNTTTTTTTTTTTTTTTTTTTTTTTAACTTTTCAAGTTTTTTAAAATCTGATGTAGAGTTGTACCACCTGATAATTTCTTGGTACTACTCAGTTTAGAAAGGGGAGGGGGATATAAAATCATCCAAATATCTTAGATGCAAATTCTATATGAAGAAATGGCAAGAAATGCATGAAACAAGTAATATTTTTTTTCTCCCTTGTTAGATGAAATTAAAAGGTTGTTTCCTTCATTATAGGATTGGGATCTGTAATTCAAGAATTTTTATGCTACTTTCTGAAATAATATAGTACTCTTTTTTCACATTTATGTAAATAAAAAATCCTGGTTATGTAATATCCACCCATTAAAATTTATTCTAAATCCATTTTTGTTTAATTATTAGGTATTTTCTGTCCATTTGTTAATATTGTAGAATAAGTTTTAGGATTTAGAATTGCCTTATATGATAGAATATGCCTATTAGGTGGGCTAACCAAAATTTATTAACTCATATTTAATTTTATTGTATACACAAGCTTTAAGTAATTTTTCAAGGTTGTGGATGCATGTTCCAAGTTTTTATTTTTTAACTTTACATATTTTTACATGACATTTTTAGTCTTTTAAAAATAAATTAGATTTTTTCTTTTTAAATTAAAAATACTTGAGTAAAAATTACATGATTTTTTGAAATAGTATTTCTGATATGAAGATTGATGCGTTTTTAATACCTATATAATTTTATATTCATCACTCAAGTTGATGGTTAAAGTAATCTCAAGATTTTAGATTTCTCGAAAAGCCACTCACAGTATTTGTTTTGTACATAAACAATATATAAAGACTTTTGAATTCCAGACTTAATTTATACTTTAATTCAAAATTGTTTTTTCCCATTGCATATTTCTGTTCATGTGTTACTTAACTTTATTTTCGATCCAACACATTAAATAAATTGTTTTCTATTTAAATAAGTGCTGTTAGTAATCAATCTCTCTTTTCTTGTATGGCACCTTAAACTCAGGTATTTCTCTATCCAAAGGCATGTTAAATTGTGGGCAATATTGCATTCAAAGTACCTTTACTTTTTAAAAATTGCGATTAATTTGAATCAGTGTTTAAAAATGCTTATTATTATTTTTGAAAATAAAACTAGTAGCAATATCTAATAATTTATTATCTTTTACAAGTTTTGATTTAATGCATTTAAATCTGATAATCTTGTTGAGGTAGGTAGGTAATTTATTTGCATCACACTTGAGCTGCATAATGGGCTATTGCGGACGGTTGGGAAACATCCCCGAGTATGATCCGAAGACATGCTATGACAATTTTGAGTGCAATTCTTCTGCAGAGTGGATGGTTCCCCTGTTTTGGTTGCACAAAGTTGAGCATTTTACAGTAGAACAGTTTAGCGAGGACTGATACCATGCACCTTCAGCCCTATGCAGGATGATCAAAGTGGTCACCCACCCGCTTACTGACCCCAGCCAGTGATATTTGACTTCGGTGTTCTACTGGGATCAGCCCAGTACAGGAGAATAATCTTATTGGAAGTTGAGGCGAACACTGACATAGTACATATTTGTTTTGTCTTGTCCCCCTCAAAAAAAAAAAACAACTTTTTTAAGGAATTAGTGTCTCAGGTCTTCCTATTTCATTCCTTTAATATAAAAAAGGGAAAACATTTTAAAGACAGTTTCAAAATACATTTTAAGCTCACAGGAGGGGTTTTTTCTTCTTTTTTTAGTTATTTGACAGCATTATTACACAAATATTTCTTTTTAAAGTAACAGACTGGGTGGAGCGTTGATCAACTTTAATCCTTTTATTATTCAGAATGTATTCACTACTTATCCATTTTTGTCAATATATGATTGCTGTGACACGAATCAGAGAATGGTTTTTAGTCACTGGTTAGTTTTGAGCTATTTTTTTTTAAATAGTTTGTATTATGGCTATAAGTATCTGCAAACTTTTGCGGACTAGCTGGTTGGAGAAAGTAGATAGTATTCATTAAAATAAGTTATTTTTAATCAAAATTAATATTCTGTTTACATATTTGTATTTATATAAAAAAATAAAGGGAGCTTTTGAGCGTCTTAATTTCTTAAATTTTTTTCATCGTTACAGAGGTCTGTTAAAGATGCTCTGTAATTTCTGTAAGAATTTTAGTTCTGAATTTAAAATTATGAAATGAACCATTTCTCAATGTTATTTAAATTTTATATATATCTTTTTTTTAAAACTGATTACTATACTTACCATTTCAAATATTGGTTCCTATAATATACTCATTTTTACACGAATCCTTCTCTTTCTTAATACCTAATTAATATTCTGTGCAACTTTTTATTTTTTATTTTGTGTTACTTCTTATTACCAAATAGTGATTTCTTTTGACTCACAATGAAACTTAAATTTTTCCTCTCGATATGAACCTTTTCATCTGCTTCTTAAATAGGTCTAATGATTTCATTCTTTTTGAAATGCTATTGCATAGCTACTTAAAAAAATATAAATGTATTTGGAAGAAAAAAAACTAAGTGATCAGTATTCACTTCAGATTTGATCAAGAATTATCCTGTTCCAGAGGTAATTCACAGTACTAAACGTAAAATGTTTTTAATTTTCAAAGAAGCAAAAACGAAGATTATATAAGATTTATCTCATAAGTTAGCTTTCACAAAAAATTAGAATTCTAGGCTGAACAGTTTTTTTTCTGATTTAGACTAACGTTCAACTTTCACTATGCCTTTGTGCAAAACAGTAAAAGTTTTCTGCAAAAATGAGTTAGCTTCCTGTTTTATTATTAATAATTTTAAAACACCAAAAGCTAACAATCATTCTTCTTCGCAAATCCGTTTTCATCTATTTTTCTTCGCAAAAAAAAAAAAAAAAAAAAAAAAAAAAAAAAAAANAAAAAAAAAAAAAAAAAAAAAAAAAAAAAAAAAAAAAAAACATTTGCTGAAAAAGTTAGGTGTAATATAAGATGCCAGAATTGTTGACAGGAACAAGTTTTTTTTTTCTAAGTTAAAAAATAAAAGTTAGTACTGTCCAGCTATCAAAAAAACTCACAGCTAAAATTCTGAAGTTCTCTCTGCAGTTATGAAAACAGGATTAAAAGCATTTCTAATGGAAAAGAATTGAAGAAATTATACGACTTATCTTTGCAACCACCAGCATACGAGTCTGTCTGCAGAATATCTCATGATAGCTGGCAAGAACTTTCTTAATTGTTGCAAGCCTACCACTTTTATGCATCCGTTAAAATGTTGACTCAGTAGAAATATAAAGTTGATATAAAAATAACTTAAAAACAAATATTTTTAATTACAATATATTGTCCAATACAGATACAGTCCATTAAGTTCACTAGCAAGTTGATTTATAATACTATAATTAAAAAATGTATTTTTGAAGAAAATTGTTTTTACTTGTTCTTCAAAAGTAAATATTAAATGCTTGAAAATGAGGAAGTAAGCAAAATTATATACCAGCATTTTTAAACTTAGTGTACCAGTGTTGAATAAAAGAAATATTTTTTAATACATTAACCTAAAAGTTGGACTACCTACAATCTAGGATCCAAATGCATCCTTTAAATAGTCAGCGTGTTTCTTCCCCGTCCTAGAGCCATAAATTTAGTTAGGAAATCTTCATTTCCTATATAACTAACCTAAGAAATTTTTATAATTGTTTCTCAAACTAATTTCTATAATATTGATTGAACACTAAAACTAAAAGATTAAAATTTCAAAACCTAGAGATACTAATTCAAGACGTAAAAATGTGCATTAATTTAATTTTTTAAAAAGAAGTTAAAGCGTGTAAAACTTCAAAAAAGTTTTTTTTAATTACAAAAAAAAAATTCATATTATTATACATTTGCTTTATAAACATCGTGTATAATTTGCTGCATTATGTTTTTTATCCAAATTTTGTTTCGATTACTCTGAGAAACATAAGTTGTTGATTAATGTAATTCATGGTGGTTTTTGAGCTCAAAAAAGAAAGAACACTTTCAGCACCCTTTGTTAACTCTTTATTTTATTAAAACTTTTTGAAGTGATGTGAGTGTTGCCCTATGTAAAAATAAATATGCAATAGTAGATCTTTATATCTCTTAACTTTAAAGCGAGACTTTACGTTTTATAGAATTTTACGTTGTATAGATAATTTTACATATCCTTAATCTTACCTTCTAAATACCTCAATATCAACATGGAACAGATCAATCTTGAAATGCTTTGAAATAGTTCTTAATTACAAATCATTAGAAACCACAAAATTATGCACTCAAGTATTTATTAGTTGCCGAATAAATTGAAATTTCAAGAGCTTTGATAAATGGGAGCTTTGAGAATTGATAAACAAATTGAGTAATTTTGATTAGCTCAGGAAATCGTAACCCCTTAACCAAGTAAAAAAATAATAGTTATTACTCAACTACAAAAAATTTTTCACTGCAAATTTCATAGCCGAATTGTGGCTTATGGAGAATTGTGGTTTGTGAAAACTTGCGTTATATAGACCTTCTATAGTATATTTACACTTAAAGAAATAGAAATTTCTTTTCCCTGATTTATAAACTAAATTGCAACATCTTACCTTAATGTACAACAATATAAATGTGTTAACATTACTACTTATCACTTTATACGCTTAAGGTACTTAAAAGTACCTTAAGCATATGGAAGAGTTACATTGAACTTAAGGAATAAAAAATATGTGAGAAAAATTTTCGTAATTTGATAAATTGTGTCATTTAACTGTTACGCCCAAATGTATTTCAATAATAAAATCATCTCGAATGTGTACTTTTATTTATTTTTTTTTTTTTTAATAAGTGAAAACAATTTTTAATGGAAGTATGGTATACTTTGAACATTTTATTATTTTATTTTGTAGTGCATTTGAATTTGTTTTTAATCTAAATTATTTTATTCATGTAATGTAACAAAAAAATTTTAAAATGCCAAATATATTTACCATACTTGGAAAATAAATAGACTTTAAATAATTTACTAAAATTTGTTATGTGAGCAAATAATATAGTTAAGAAATAATGTATAGCTTTTTCACAATTGAATTTTAAAGTATTTATAAATCAATGAATGTTGTTTATAAATATAAAGTGATGAATAATAGCAGAAAGTAATGAATATAAAATTCTATAGAAAGAGAGATTTGAATCTGTAGGAATTTTAAAAATTAAAATTTTTTGAAAAATTTACATATCATTCTAAGGTGTAGATGTCTTTTCAAGTTGTTATTGGTGGGGTTATAGGCCAAAATTATTTTTAAAACACGTAGTTATTATACTCTTTTTATATATATATATTGTTTGAAAAGTTGAAATAGCTATGTTACCAAACGTCAATGTGTAGTTAATGTAATAATTACTCACCAGACTTGGCTTGGCATTTCGCTATAATTGTAAAGAATAAAATGCTGAGGACGCTGTTAGGGAAGCTGAAACACACTGTCATTTCTTAAACAGTAAATAAACATATGAATTGTCTAAAATTTTCAAAATTTCCGAAATTTATTTCTTTGATCTAGCCTATAAGAGAACGGAAAACATGCGATGTTTGTCCATTTATGCATCATTTTGTGGAGAAATAATTGAATACTAAGACATAGACGTCATATTCTTGTAACAACATACTCAAAATGCAGTGAATATAGTTTTACAAATGAATTAATACGATAATTCATTTTTTGTTATGGTCTGTATTTCAACGCCATTAGCGCAGTAGTCGAAAGGATGGATTTATTCTGTTAATAAGAAAAGTATTTAATCATGATCTAATAATTGTTAACAATCGAAACAATTTAATAACATCCGCTGGTACCTAAACACGAAAAATTTCGTTATGAAGTAATTATGAAGCTATCTAAACATGCATCCAACTCAATCCATCTGTACACAAATTCCTAGATTGCTTGCAAACATGCTGTTCCATCAATTGTTGCGTGTGTTCAACAAAAACGTTATGTTTATTCTTATGGATTAAAACACCTAAATTATTTCTTGAATATAAGTTATTAGAAATTAAAAAGCTTAATTGTTTCTCCTTTTTTGATTCTTACATATTGCAAAGGGGGGATGAGCGGTAAAAATAACAGCCTGTGTTAATCTGTCTTTTCATGATATGTTTGTGTATTTCAAGCTGTCAAAGTGAGATTCGATTTATCTGTGCGGCGCTAGAATTGTTATGGATGGTTTTTAATAGTGATGTTTCGTGCAGCGATGGATGTTTAAAATTCTTGAAGATTAATCTAAACCTAAATTGAATCCTAACAATTTTATTTTGTTTAAATCGGAGTGCATTGTTTAAAAAAAAAACTATTCTCGTATTGGATTTTAATTGATTACATTGCATCAGAATTTAAGAAAAACCAACAACATTGATCGTGTCTGGTATGTAAATAAGACGTTTGCTTTAATTATTCGATGCACTGTTGTGCCTTTTTAACTGTTGGTCTTTAGATTACTGCTTATAATTAATCCACCTGTTAAACGAGTTCATATTTTGTTTGCACTTTGATTGTTGATGCAATTTTAAATTAACGGAATCTCTTGCTTTCTTTGAAACAATTTCCTTATTTATTCGCCAATAACTTTCAATAGATAACATACAGATTAGATTTTGCTAGATACATACAGATTAGAAAATCTAATATCTATCTTTTAAATATTCATTATCTTTGACTATTAATACATTAGGGAAAATTATCCTCATGCATGTTAATGAAATAAAAATGTGTATGTGACATAATAGTGAAATAAAAAGTTTGTCTTTGAGACAAAAAATAAATTTCCAGTTATCTATATATAAAAGAATAACTTGCTTCATTTTTAAAATATGTAATTTTGGTTTTGCAACTCATATTTTTATTTTGGTTCTCTAATTTCTTGGCATTGTCATATTACAATAATCATAATATTATAATATACTTTAATTATCTTGTTTATATTTTAGCATTTTGCTAATATTAGTTGAACAGTACTTACAAGTTGTGTCTGGATTGCCTTTACAAAATAATATTTTCCTGATGAATAAAAATATGCATTGTTTTCTGTAATTAAAATGCTTCTGGGAAATTAGTCTTGTTAACAATTCTTGTGATTTTAATCCCAAATCACAGAAACGTGGGAAGCTAAAAAGAAACTTATTCATCAGAGATTGAAAGAAACTTACCAAGAAAAATAATATAAATTTGCTAAATTCAGAAATGATGATAATGCTGTGGGCAAAATGGATGTATTTTCTTAAATTATAATCTAATAATTACAGTGGCATGCTTTACCACTGAAAATCTGTAAAGCTGATAAGAATGAAACAAAGATTAATCCACTTCCTAATTTTTTTTTCCTCTATTGCATTGGATAATCTTTTATCTTCCTAGTGCCAACTTTGAAGTATTGGCCAACAGAATATATTTCCTATTAAGATAGATAATATTAATAATAATTTTAAAAACAAAATCTGTTAGTTTCCATCATAGTGTTACATAGTTTTATTGTATTTTAATTTTTCACTTGTGCTACAAAAAAAACTTTCAAACTTGAATCCATCATAACATTATTTATTCCCTTGTATACAAACATATTTAAATTAGATAATACCTGCATGCAAGATGGTGTGAATTTTTTCAGATTGTTTGAATCTTGCCCAATATTTATTTTATTATTATTAGAAAAGCGTGTAACAATGTTCTTTTTTTTCTTCCCTTCTCCCATTTAACATGTAAAGCAAAGGTTGTATTTTAATAGTTATTTAATAAATTATAAACCAGATTTTTAGTTATTTGGATTAAGGTCTGTCAAATCATAGGTGTGATTAAATATGTTAGCCATGTTCTTGTTTAGGCTTGTAGGTGAGCAAATGAGACTTAGCTCTGATATTTTTGGGAATTGGTATTTTTGATCTTCTGCTTAGGTTTTTGGCATGGATACAATAATATTATTTGTTCATGATCAAATGTAAATTATTATTGCTTGTAGTAGTATTTCTTCCATATAAGGAAATGAAATTTTATTTATGATGTATTATTTTATTATACACCTTTCGAGCCATAACTTGAGTATCGTATAATACATATGGGCAAGCTCTGGCAACAATATTTGGTATAACAATAAATCCATAGAACCGTTTTATTTTAAATTTCTACTGCCACAAAACTGATCAAAAATAAATCTAAATTAATACTTAATGTATAGCTAACTATTTAACATTACTTAAACTATCATTTAAGACTACCTAACAAAATGAATCTAAATAAATACTTCACCTATAACTAATTATTTATCTCTATTTAAATGGTTACTTAGTGTAACCCTGGGTGTTTCCTGGTCAAAAAACAGACGCATTCAATTTTTACAAAATCTAATAAACTTGTAGAGTTACCGATTTTGGCAATGGAGTAGTATATATATTGTGATTTCTTTCTAATAAAATATTTATTTCTATATTTAGTCATGGACATGTAACTTAAGTAATTATAATTGATAGCATAGAAGAAGACTGGGACCAAGAATTACTTTGGAAAGTTCATGACTAGAAACTTCCCCAGGTGACACGACCTAACAATATGAATCTAAAATACATAACTAATTATTTAACACTACTGAAATTATCACTTAAGATAACCTAACAAAATGAATAATTATGAAGGACTTTAGTGTTGCCAATTTAGACCGAGAATTACCTTCGTTTTTGGTGCCATGTATAGATATTTCTGAGATAGTGTTGTAACAACTACGGTGGTTGCAATGCAGCCCCTTTTTATCAAAAAAGGGAGGGGGGGAAAACATTCCCACAACACTGTTGTGGGTCAGGGGTGTCACAGAGACTAAGGTTCCACAATTTTCTAACATGGTAGTAGCAATATGGTTGGCATTGCACACCGACCGCTTTTACTTTGCAGGCTAACTGATACTCATCAAGCTGTTTGAAGCTCTGTCTGCTTCAAATTGCTATTGGGAATAGAACCAGAGTACTTCACAATTACATCTCAGTGCCCATAAATACTTTTGCATTCACCATTTAAAAAGCCAACTGTATCAGTTAAAACTTTGGAATTTTCTAAGTAGAGTTTCAAAAATCTGGCAAATATAAAAATGGTATGTGAAGTAATGAATCTTCATGGTATTCAATTAGAAAATTCAATTAAAATATAAAAATTTGTATTGAAAATCCTATGCATCATGCATATTACTTGTAAAATATGTATCATTAAACTATCATCACAGAACAGGTGAAACCTTATGTAAATAAATTAAACCGAAATATTTTTCCTTCCATTTGTGATTTTTTTATGTATTTTTTAGTCCCTTCATTATAACTGAGAAAATTTTTTTGAGATTTGTGTAAAGTCTAATTGTAACTTTCTAAATTAATAATTTTTTGAATGATTCATACAATTTAATTATGTAGAAAAATAATCTCTGTTAATGTGGTGCTATTTTAATTTTGTTTGGGATTGTCATATCAGTATAATTCAAATTATCTTCAGTAAATTAAATATATATATCTATGAATTTGTATCTACCATTAACCCATTTATGCCTGAAGTGCCCATTTTTTCAATGCTTTTTTGTAGATCAATATTAAATGTCATGAAATCTCCTGAAAGACTGATAGAAGAAATTTCTCCTTAAAATCTACAACTTTTTCTGTTACAATTTTGGGATCCTAGCCAGGATGTTACTGAGTTATCAAAATCTAAAATTATGATATGTTCTACGAAAGAAAATAACAAATTGCTTGTAATTTTTTAAATATTTGTTGAATGTTGAATGCATAACTAATAATTTATTAAACTTACACTTTTCATCTGGATGTGAATCTGTGATGCATTTTTAGAGCAGTATCCAAAAATAGACTGGTCGGATGCTGAAAGGGTTAAACGCATTCTATTAAAGGTTAAGATATTTCTTAAAATGAATATTTATACGAAATTTTCACATTTCTATGTCAAAGATTTTTTTTTATGAAGCAAAATGGGTATTATTAAAATATTTCTGAAATATCTATGATATTAAGCACAAAATGAAAATTTTAAATGATGGAAATGTTTCGGTTTTACCTCTTAAATTTTAATAAATAAAATTGTAAGGGGTGAACTTTTTTTTAATAACCACATAATTTTTTTAAAAATTTTTGTTGCTTTTTTATTAATAAAACATTGAACAAAAACGTATTAAGCGAAAACCGTTTTCTTTATTTGTCACTAATGAAGTTTCAAAAAAAAAATAAAATTAATTTTGATTGTTAGTGTAACTTAAATATCAGCTAAAAAAATTTCCATTGAATTAAATTTAAAGAAAAAAAACATTTTTTTATAAACTTTCAAAATTTTCACCATAACTTTGCCTTAAACAGGTTTTGCGTGCTGGAGCAGGTTGCCTGTAAACAGGTTTTGCGTGTTGCGTCCTACGTCATTTTTTGCTAAGTCGTGAAAATTGTCCATGCCGTAAATGTGTTTATGTGTAAGTTAAAATACCCCGAATTTTAGGTTAAGAATTTCCCTTTTTATACTTTTGTCTGACAGATCAAAATCATTTTATCTCTTCAAAGTCTACGTAAATTTTCATTTTTTCCCCCCTCAGCTTTTCCGATGGGATGGGCAAAGCACAGGACCTTCATTAATGGAAGTTTAGAAGTTCAAATTGCAAAATTTGTGAGTGGAATTGTTTCCAGCAAACTTCAACCTTTGAATCTTGTAATAATCCGATCATTTAATAACGTTATAATAAACGATTGTTTATGAAATCATTTCTTTTTCTTAATTCTGGCGAAATCTTAGAAGATGCTTCGAAAGCAAATGTTCTGGAAGCTCCGAATCTGATTTCTACAGCATTGGACTGTGTGGTCTAAACTGCATTACAAAGGGTTTAATAAAGCAGGCATCTGGGCATCCAACAGGAACATTGGCCTTTCGGAATAAATTGCATAGCTGAGGAAGCTGTATTGCGTAGCTGATCTTCCGAAAGTCGATGAGCGTATATCGGCTACGACAAATATCCAACACTTATCAATTCCTTCAATATCAGATTCAATGCCTGCTTCCGATAATATTGATGAAAATGAGTAAATATCGGAAGGTATACCCACGAGTGATCAAGAGTTTCAAAGCATAAAAATTCTGAAACAATATTTGCAAACGTAAACCGAAAGGCGATTTTGCAAAAATGTTTTAGTTCGGAGCGGGGTATTCTTGAAACTGTATCTAAATACGAAAGGAAAAAAAAAATTAAAGATTACAAACTTTTTCTAATAGTTGTCAATGTTTGAAAAATATGCTTATATTTTTTTATGCCGATTTTACGTTTTCCTATTTTATGCGTTTTTTAACGCTAGTACAACGGAAAACGTAAAATCGGGGTTACACTGTAATTTTAAATTTGTTGCACTTTAGGTGAAAATTAAAAGGGAATAAGCAAGAGGTAATCTGATTTTTAATATTGGGCTTATTTTCTGAACGTAAAACCTGTATTTCATAATTTTTATTCTTATAAAACATTTTTGTGTTCAATCCAAGATATTAAAATACTATATCATTTACATATCTTTTTTTTTACTTCAGTTATACAGTATAATTTTTTTCAAACTTTCTTTAATAATATAACTAGTATGTCAGAACTAGATTTCGAAGTGGCTGAATTGCCTATTCCTGGTCCAGAGATTATTGATCTGACTATCGAGAGCTCGGAAGAAAACGAAGTTGCCAAAATAGGTTCTGATCTAGATCAATCAAATAAAACCGTCAGTGACTTGGAAGAAGGTGAGATTAAGGAGTCTAATAAAAGCTTGTGCCGCTATTTCCAACGGGGTAGATGCTGGCTAGGAGAAAATTGTTCCTTTTCCCACGTTGGAAATAATTCTTATAAAATGTTTGATACTCAAACTCAGCCGGCGATAGTTTATCAACCCATGGAACCGGGTCAACCTATAGAAGACCTTCCTGATGCTTGGGATAAAGGTTTAAGAGAAGCAAAAAAATTGCTGCTGAATGCGAAACTTAAAAAAGAAACTGATCTTGACTTCGAGGAGAAGCAGTTATACCAAGGTTTAGATGAAATTATCAGAGATAATGAAGATTTTTATCGGCGAAAGATGGATTTCGCCGATAGGCATAGGAAACAAAAAGAAACATGCATTGATTGTTTGCGACTTAAGGATTCAGAACGTGGACGGAAGACTGTAAAAACTGCCTCTAAAGATCTGCCTAGCTCTCAAAAACCTAAAAATGTGAAATCGAGGACTAAATATAGATCAGATTCGTGTTCACCAGTTCCATCCTGTCGACGTCACTCTTCATCGTCATCTTCATTGTGTGGCAGGTGCGAAGCTTCCTGTCATGAGTTGAAGAATGATGTTGGTAAACCAAAGTCAAAATTAGAGAGAGTGTTTTTAAGAACTGTCGATGCACCAGAAGCACCAAGAAAAGAAACAACTCAACGCCGCTGTCATTCATCTTATCCCCGTAGGCGCAGCTCATTGAGACATTCTTTTTCAAGGCACTTCCTATACCGATCACATTCAAAATCTCCATCGAAGAATTACTCGAAAAAGTATCCTAAAAAAACCGTGCAACAGAAGCAAACTCGTGAACAGTCTACTTCACCAATGTCTGATAGACGCAAGAAATATGGTTCCTCCCATTCCAAAAAAGAACGTAGTTCTACTATTTCTAAATTTTTATCCCAAATTAATGATTTGGCAAGTTGTAGTAGCGATATGACTGTTTCATCCATTAGATGCACTTCTGTTTCAACTTCTCTCCTAAGCAATGAAGAAAAAGAATCTACTAGACGCTCTATATTGCCTGTGGTAGTTTCCGGAAAAAAGTCAAAAGGCGTGGAACACACAACTTATGATATTGACAAGTGGTTAGATAGTGTTCCTAAAACAACGAAAGAAAGTAAGCGTGAGTCTGAAATATCAACGAAATGTTTGGAAAAACCTGATAGGGAAAAAGAGAAAAGCTTCAAGACTGTTAAAAATGGCAAAACTCTCCTTAAGTCTGATCGGAAATTATCATCGGATAGTAGCATTACCGATGAAGAACTTTCAGCTGGTGAACTGGAACTTTTAAGGTACATTCCAAATAAGAATCATAAGAAACTCAAGCAAGATAAAAAGAAAGCTGAAAATAATGTTAAATTAGCTCCAAAGACATCTGTCAAAAATCTATCCACAAATAACAATCGTGGAACGAATGAAGAAAACCACTCCTCAAAAACGAATGCAGAATATCCTCCACCAAAAATTATTTATGATTATGGGTCGGATACAGATAGTCTTATCTCGAAACTTATACATGATTATGGATCAGACAGACTAAGTTCTTCCCAGAAGAGTGTTGAATCAAATAAAGATAGTCCTAACGCGATAAGTTCTTCCCAGAAGAGTGTTGAATCAAATAAAGATAGTCCTAACCCGATAAGTTCTTCCCAGAAGAGTGTTGAATCAAATAGAGATAGTCCTATCCCAATAAGTTCTCCCCAGAAAAGTGTCGAATCAAATAGAGATAGTCCTGTTCCAAAAACGTCAGTAGAGCATTCTTCTCCGAAAAATGATCTTTGTCTTGAAACACTTGAAGAAAATAATTTTTCAAAGGAATCCAATAATGTAGAACAAGTAAACAATACTTTTTCAAAGAAATTGGACGACGCAGCTGAAGAAAATTGCTCTTCAACGACAAAAGTTGTCGACACAGAGAAGAAAATTCCCGAACTATTTGACAGGAATAAAATGGAACAAAACAATAACTCTCCTTCGAATGTATCGGGGAAAAGGCTATCATCTGAAAGCTCAACCGAACTCTCAGACGATGAGCTTGAGTTATTGAAATATGTCTCTAATGTGTCTACCAAGATCCGAAAGAGAACGAAAAAAAATCCATCTCAATTGAGTGCTAAGAAAACTAAGCAAAAATCAAAATCCAAGAGGGATGTCAGCGAAAGTCCTAAACGCAAATCTGCAGTGCAGGAGAAAGAGGAAACTACTGAAATATCTAGAAGAGAACGGTTAATGCAGCAGCTTGAAGCTGTGGAATTAGCGATTGCCAATAAGAAACGACAGGCTAAATTAGAAGCGAAACTTAGAAAGAAAAAAAAGAAATGATTTGATGTGAATGTAACTAATTTTTCCTATTAGCTATAATTAGAGTCTATACTTTGTTGACTTAAAATTTTCCAAATTGCTTTCCTCCCCCCCCCCCCAAAAAAANACAAGTTTCAACCCCCCCCCCCCCCAAAAAAAAAACCTCGACTGAAAAAAAATGCAGAAAGAAAGTCATCAAAACCCAGTTTTGAGTATTATTTTGATAGCAAATGTATATTTTGATAGCAAATATGCCTATTTATGTATATACAGGAAGGCCAACTGCTACAGATTTTGTTTCGACTTCACAAAGCTTATGAAAACTACAAAATCTGAATACTCATTTGTTTAAAACAGATTTTTGAATACATGTTTTCTCAATTGTGAAAGACCCTTTATTAATTGCAATGAAGAGACAATCTATTTTGTTTTAACGAACTTAGTTAAAAAATCTAATCAAAGCCACTTTGCCGATATTTTTATAAATTCAATTTATGAATCCTTATGGTATAAATATTTTTAATATTACTCCGAAACAATCTTTGCCATTATGGGAAAGTTTCGCTTCAAGTTGACATCCATGTATACGCAATAAATTTAATTATACTTGTTAAATATTTTTTACCTTGTTAACTACTGCTATTCTGTTAAAAACTGGTATGAAAGCTATAATAATTTTTATTAAAGTAATAAACATTTTTGTTGAAAACATGCTGTTGTATTTTTTTTTTCATTTTAATGTATACAGAATTCGATGAAGTACAAGAAAATTAGTCTTCTAAATATGGAGCTTCAGATCTCTCAGAATGACGTCTTAAGATAATGGGAAACTCAATATCTATTTTCCACCTATAACTTTTAGAACACTGTGTGCACTATTTCGAAAATGACGAAATTCTTGGGTTTTCTTTTCTTTCATGAATGCATTTTTTGAACCAAATGTGAATGCGACTCCTGCAAGTGACATAGTGTGGGTATCTCGAGCCTGATTGGACGCCTGCAGGTGACGTAGGTGAGTATCTCGAGTCTGATTGGACGCCTGCAGGTGACGTAATGTGGGTATCTCGAATCTGATTGGTTGTTAAAACGTAGCTCTGTCTACGTTAGCAACTGTTCTTTCCATTCTATTTCAATTAACTTACTCCTTCAAGTATGAATTCTCTTTAGTGATACATTCTATAATCCTTCACAATGATTTCAATTCTCATGTATTTCTTACATAACACAAATACGGGAACGAAGCCATGTAGAATATAAACAAACTAATTATGCATTGAAGTTGCCAGGTATACAAGACAAAAATATATAAACTAATAATAAATCTGAGAAAAAATTATATTTCTACATATTAATGTGTGATACGGTGCTGTATTTAATTAACTTCACGTTAATTAGCATTCTAACTTATGTGGAAAAACTTAGCTCAACTTTGACGCTCCATTTTCTTTATTGATTCTTTATGCAGTGGACTCTGATGTCATACGTCACATGTGGACATGTTTAATCTTCTCGAAGAGTACCCAGTTGTTTTGAATTTTGTTTTCTAAAATTAATGTTAATTACATAATGGGCGAAAAATATTGTAATTTTTTTATTATATTGTATTTTGTTTAAATATATAATATTGATATTTTTATATAATTTTCAAATACTTCCACTACACGATTATATCTGCAAATTTCTTAATGTTTGTATATCCCTGAGACTTTTATTTTCAAGAAAGGATGGAAAATGAATAAGGATTCCTATGAAACACACTGTCTGGTAACACATGCTCTGTCATCATCAGACTTTAGGCATCTGTTCACTTCTATTATTTGACATAACGACATCTGTTCTGGAACATTTTCGCCATGATGGTGCAATATCGATTCAGCTACCGACACATAACTTAGTATTGACTGCATCTGATTTGAATGTCAAATCTCGCTCTCTCTTTTTTGCATATTTGTTAATAAAGCATGAAGTTCGAATTTTCAAATGCAGTCATTATTGATTGCTTTGCGAGCAATTAAATGTTTTACGCAGCTGTTTAATAGCATTGTTTAACAAAGTAGACTCGGTAATTATTTTTCAGTGATTTTATTGTAAGATTTTATGCAAAATTCGCATCTTGTACACACAAGAATTTATGGGTTCGTTAAGTTTTGTCAGTATTTTGCTCCAGTTCATAAAATTGACGTCACTTGAAACGGAATATCTATTTTAATATGATAAATTTAAGCATTGTTCAACAAAGTTTAATAGCATTGTTTAACAAAGTTGACTCGGTAATATTTTTCAATGATTTTTTGGAATTCAATGATTTCACCATAAACCTAATATCTATTTTAATATGATAAAATAAGTTTCTTCATCTAAATACACTGATGTTCAAAGTAAGGAAATTTAAAGATTGAGTCCAATTGCGTCAGAATCACCTGATCCATTAAAATGATATTTNTTCCGGGGGTTGGTGAGCGCCAGCGAGCAGGGGGCGAAGCCTCCTAGTATCTATATTAATATGATAAATTTAAGCATTGTTTAACAAAGTTGACTGGGTAATATTTTTCAGTGATTTTTTTGTAAGATTTTATGCAAAATTCGCATCTTGTACACACAAGAATTTATGGGTTCTTTAAGTTTTGTCAGTATTTTGCTCCAGTTCATAAAAATGACGTCACTTGAAACGGAATATCTATTTTAATATGATAAATTTAAGCATTGTTTAACAAAGTTTAATAGCATTGTTTAACAAAGTTGACTCGGTAATATTTTTCAGTGATTTTTTGGAATTCAATGATTTCACCATAAACCTAATATCTATTTTAATATGATAAAATAAGTTTCTTCATCTAAATACACTGATGTTCAAAGTAAGGAAATTTAAAGATTGAGTCCAATTGCGTCAGAATCACCTGATCCATTAAAATGATATTTGGTTTAAAGACAGGGTTGATATGATGAAAATAAAATTATCAGTCAACAACTATGGTACTGGTGTGATAGAGCGAAACTTTCATTGGTGTCTTAAGGTGCGACACAGTGGTTACAGAATCGAACAAAAGAAAAGGTTAGTAAGGGATTTCCTCTCCTCTAAGCCATTTTCAAAGATATACATCTAGATATGCACTTTAGTTTTCGTTGCTAAGTTTAGCTGCGCCAATTTCAGACCCTGGATGGTTAATTGAAGTATAACTTTTTAAATTACGTATTAAAGTTATATTTATCCGTTCAAAAGTTCCTGTAATTCTTTTCGGTAACTTAGTATTTATAGTTCATAATAGGTGTCCCAAATTTCTCACAGGATTTGAATTAAATAGAAAACAGTTTTTTTCCTCTAATCATAGATTTTTTTTTAATGAAACATAGGATAAGATTTGTATGGAAAAGCACATTGGGCAGCAGCTTTGTTTTGCTGTCAGGTACGCTGCACTCTTTCATCGTAATTTTCCATTACTATTTTGCAGAAATGGGACTGAATTTCTGTGATGCAACGCACAAGTTTATCATCTGCGCACCTGGAAAGCCATGAATTTTGGTATTGAACAAAATTTGTCATGATTTTAACCATTTTTTTCATAAAAATCATTGAAAGTCATGGATTTAGGTCGCCGAAAAATCTAATTTTTAAAATGGAATTTACCCCTCCTCCTAATTGCATGGTGTTCGAAATATCTGAATTTGTAGCAAAATCCCCACTCACAGTCATATTTTATCATGTTCTTTCAAAAAATGAAAGAAAAAACATCATTTTTAGAGCGAATTATCTTTTAAACTTCTGTGATTTCAGAATTTTTGTTATTTTTTATTTTATCAATTTAAAATTCTAGCTGAAGCAAGCCAGTCATTGGCGAGTTTTTTTTTACATTCCGAAATGAGAACAGAAAACTCAGGAGTATTTCTTTCCTTTCCGATGAACAAGAAAAGTATCTTTAGAATATAATTCAGTAGAAAAAAAATTATTTGCTTTTGTATTTTTTCAGCTGTTTTATTACTTCAACTCTTTCTTTATTTTGCTTATTAAATTTAAAATTTATAAATATGAAGATGCAGAGTATAACAGTTTTGGTTATACCTATCATTTCAATTGATGAATGTTTTTTTACATTTATTGTGTTTTTGTCGGAGAAAATAGTAACTTCGTTATGTCATGAAAAATTCATGGTATTAGTCATGAATTTGAAAATCTGACATGTAGTAGACATCCTGAACGCAGATTCTCTTCCTTGAATGGACGTGAACTTCAGAAAGACCATAGAACGTGGAAGAATAATGGAATTTTATCAATCTAGAACAATCAAGAAACTTAACTAAAAGAATCTAAAATTCAGGGGAATTAAATATTTTGAGTTTGAAGTACCTATTAAGTCTGATATTTTTTCCCACAAGAATTTGTCATGTAAAAACTTTTTTAACTGTTAATTTTAATGACAAATATAAATGCATAGCAATGTGCTTTATGACTAAGACATAAGTGTAAAAATTATAATAAAATTTATCTCACCGTTTAAAAAATTGAGANTTGAACCCACGAACTCTTGGACATGGGCCCAGTGCCCTACCAACCAGGCTATCCCGACTCTTAGTTTGCTAAGTTAGAGAAACATTGTACGAATTCTAAAAAATCTCAGTTTTTAACACCATTGTTAGTAAAAAGAAAAGTCTCGCAAAAATAAAGCGCCAAACAACCAATTTAACTTTAAAACGCTCCATAAAACATTTATAATTTTTTTTTCTTTATACAATGCTGATATTAAAATGATATTTTTCTAATTCATAAAATTTTAAATTAAATTGATTCAAAGAGGGATTAGGAAACAATCAGATTAAAAATAGACGAAGAACAGAAGTATAAGTTACCAACCTCTATTTTTAGCAAAACCGATTTTCACGAAATATCGAAAGAGAGAAGTTGATAAATTTTTAAGTCCTACGTTACGCTTTGTCATCTAATTTGAAACCAGAGGGGGGAAATCGAAAATATGGAATCTTCCCCATTAAGATTCCCTCTGCTATTTCATAAAAGATTAGTCGAAACCTTAAATGACTATTCATTATCGATATCTTTTTGAATATCATCAAAAATTCTTGGCTAACTTTTCCACCAGGACCCATCGAGAAGAAGTTAGTTCGATAAGGTAGATTAAGGTGGGAGAAATCTATTTTTGGCATCGGGAAAAGATCCCCCCTTTTTTTGTTTTTGTTTTGGTGGGGTCTTTTATGTGCTTTGAATTACTACCAATCCATTGGGATTCCCTTCGAGATCTTCAACAAAGTAGTTACAGCCCTTATCTTATCCAATGAAATGTGCCATGACATTTTCTTCTGGGAATAAAGGTTCCCTGGTAATTAAATGGAACTTCTTGGAATGTTAGCATCTATTAATTGGTTTGGAGTTAAATTACTTTTCTAGCAACTTTTC